AGGCAGGGCTGCCCCCAGGGAGGGTGCACAGGGCACTCCACAAGGCACCCAAGGAAGGGCTGCCCCACAGGGTGCTCCGCAGGGCACTGCTCCCCAGTGGATTGGGAATGCCGGCACCGGCACCTCCCGGGGAACGCGCTCCTTCCCGCTCCCCACACGGACACGGGCCCTCCAGTCCCTCCCCTGCTCTGGGCTTTACGGCCACCTGGAAGCGCTTGCTCAAACAGTGACTCACCTTTCCAGAAAGGGAAGTGCCACTTCCCAGCCAGCGCTCAATAGCAACAGCGTGGGTTTATCTCAGAGCAAACAGCCACCTGCCTGGCACTTTGTCACCCGATACTGGCCCGGGAGGGTCCCTGAGCCGTGGGACACGGCCGTGTCACCACGGGCCGCGCTGCTGGGCCGTGCGGCCGCAGCAAGCGGGGAGAGGATGGGCACAGCCTGGCACGGAGGCACCGTGGCGTGCACGGGGCTCCTGTGTGGTCGGAGGGGAGCCGAGGGCACCGGCAGCGCGCCAAGGGGTGCCAGCACCATGAACTGAGGGCACTGGCAGCGGGTGCCAGGTCGCACGGAGGCTGCTCCCATCGAGCCCTGAGGGAAGCACTCGCGCATCGTTCACTGCCCAGGATCCCGCGCCCCTTCCAGACTTCGTGTCCAGGTACCGCCATCTGTCACCAAGGCACCCTCCTTCCCCCCATGCCCCATCCTGTCACACAGACTCCTGCAGAAGGACACGGGATGTTTGCCCGCGCGGAGCCGAGGCCCGGCCCCGGGCACACCGCCCGTTCCCGCTGCGAGGCGGCGGGCGCAGCGAGAGCAACGTGCGAACCGCAGCGCGCTTCCTGGAAGGCAGATCCCGGCCTCGTCCAGCACGGCGCCTCCTCAGGGCTACCTCTGCACCCAGATAAGGGTTTTACTGCTCCGGAGTTACCGACAGCGCGGCAGCCCTGCCGAGAAAGGCAGCGCCGGCGCCCGGCGAGTCAACCCCCATCGCTCGCCGAGGGCCAGCGCTCAGCAGCGTCCTCTGCCCTCGCCTCTGCCCGCTCCTCGGCGCGCTCCCGCAGGGAGCAGCCTGCAGAGGCATTCCCACAATCATTAACAGCTAATATCCTTGCACAAACAAAGCCAGAAGAGCCACAGGCCGTGGCCTCTGGACAGCGCCGCGCTGGCGCAGGGCTCGTGCCGTCACTGCCCTGATGGGGCACACGCTGCACAGCGGCAGTGCCCCTCGGCTGCAGCGCGTGCAAGGTCACCAGTGCCACACAGGGTGGCACCAGCAGGGGCTGCCACAGGGCCCTGGGGACAGCAAGCCAGGGCAGAGGTGTCCCCAGAGCAGGGCAAGGGCAGGGAGCAGGGCAGAGGGGCTCTGCGCAGCCGCCCTCCCCGCGGGACGGGCTCCACGTTACGCCGGGGACCGCAGCAACCTACGCGTTCAGAGGTGTGAACTCAACGTCACGCTTATTGAAGCTGATTTCCTAAACTATTCTCATTATTAAAGCCAGTGATGAAGCAATCAAATATTTACTATTGGGTATAAAGTAGGAAGAGTGAGAGCTGAGTTATCTGGAAGGCAAGAGGACGATGAGCAGTGAGGGGAACAGACTCGCACCAGGGCCACAGCATCGCTGGGTTTGTGCAAGTCGAGTTAAGCAAGAGGAGTCTGGGGTCTCCTCCAGAGATACCCCCAAGCTGCTCCTGTCTCTCAGGAGCACCCGAATGCATTTCTTCACTCTGCTGTGCTGCCCTGAGCTCTGCACACGGGAGCGGGTCCAAACCCCTCAGCACCTGGACCATCCACAGAGGCAGGAGCCCCGGGCAGCCGCACGGACGGGCCCTGCAGCTGCTGCCTGTGCAGCGCCCGCGCAAGGGTGTCTCATTCAGAGCCACCCCTTCTTGCTGAAGAAGCTCGTGAGAGAAACAGGAAACTGAGAAGCTGAATCACAACTGCCCCTACTGTCATCAGCCCGACCAGATGCCTCCTCCTCTTTCACACCAAAAGGCATTTCCCTTTCCCAGCATTAAGGACAGGGATAAAGCAATTTGGTTAAACCACCTTGCACAATGTGGCACAAGATGAGGCCATCTCAAGCCTTTGCTCAGATCCTTTCCAAACTGACTTATCAGAACTGTTAGTTGACAGTATCTTAGGGACCCTGTTCATATAATCCCTGGGATTCTATTTGAACCAGAAATCCAGACGCAAGAGATCGCTTGGAATGGTTGTCCACTGAGTGCCAAATCTTCCAGATTTATGCAAGTCAAGTGCTTTGAATTTGGCTGAGTATTGGCAAGTTAACTAGACTCAGCCCCCAGCCTTCCCTTTGCCCATTTCACAAACAAACACGAGCAAGCACAAGCGCTCTCCGCATGAGTCCTCTTGGGAAAGGCCATCTTACCTTTAGCATGGAAAGTCCACCCAGGCCTGGAGTACTCCTGCAGCTGAACCCTCTCCTGCTGGTGCAGGCAGCAGACCTCACTGTAAAATTGATGCTCAATGTAAACATAGGCTGCAGGAATGGCACCTGCCACCCCTTTGGCACCAAAAAAACCATTCACCTCTGGTGAGGCCAGAAGAATCCGATACTGGGCCCTAGTGCCTAGAATAAGGTCCATATAGGCCTGGGTCAAGTTGAAGTAGCCAGTGGTAAGATAAATCCTGGCACCTCGCTCAGCCTCCGTGAGCAGTGTCTCTGTGACCATCTCATCTATTTGAATCCCAAAGGGCTTCATTTGGATTAAGGGATAAATCCAGGTGTCGGGTTCTGGTTTTTGATCCCCAGATGCTCGAGCTTCTTGCTGGGAGAACACGGGGCTGCCTTCCTGGCTGCTGTGGAAGGTCTTTGCATGGAGGAGTTGCTGACGTGTCCTGGCAGAGTTGATCACTCCCATGACCTTCTGATTTGCTATCTCGCAATAAGCTGTCTTGTCCCCTGCAGGAGAAGCACAAGAGACTGCTTTCAAGACCCCAGGTACAGACCTGCACAGAGCACAGGGAGCAGGAAGAACTACCACGAGGACACCAGCATCACAACAAAAAGCAGCTCACACAAAGATCAGACCACTTTCTTTCCTAAGATTCAAAAACTCACGTTTTAAAGGTTAACAAAGCCGTGACACAGTAACTCGACATTGAGAAGGGTAAGAAACCTGACTAGTAGCAACTTCAAAAATCCACAGAGAAATGAAAATATCTGGGCCGAGGTCAAACAGCAACCCTTGAAAACTCCACATTTCAGGAAGGAACTCAAATGTACAAAAACAAGCACCCTCAGCGTAAGCTTTCGTCACACAGCGGAGCACGAGCAAGGACAAAACCTGCTGTGACGCAACCGACTTGCCAGAGATCCCCCCCGCCACTTTAACCCCTGTCCTCAGCCTCCTAATTCAATATTCATTTGGATTCCCAGAACAGACTCAACTACTAAGCACTAATTACCAGAAATAGCAGTGCATTCATGAAACTTTCAGAACATGTACATAGAGAATATCTAGAATTATAGACTTCAATAACTAAAAAATAGCTAAGAGCCTTGCAAGATATGTAAGTTCTCATTTAAAGTTGTAAACAGAAATAAGAAACAGCAATCAGATGGTTGCGAAGGAACTTCTGCACTTGCATTTTCCACCAGATTAGCTGGTGGCAGCCACTGTGCAAGGAAGACTCTGATAGATTGCCTCAAAACCCACGTAATCTTGTTGTTAATAGCGGCACAGAAACGGGTCTCACCACAGCCAGTTATCAAGAGTCAAGCATGCAGCAGTTTAAAGTGCAGGGAGTTCCAGTTATCCTTCAGAACACTCCTGCTGTCATTCCCCTACTCTGGATGTTATCATCTGATCAGATAAGGAGTCTGGCTCCCACCTCGGTAGGGATGCACCATCCCCTCCATCATGTGCACTGTGTCATCCTGCTGTAATTGCAGAGACACATCTCCAATCGCATCCACTAGCTCCGTGAAGAAGTCTGCAATCTCAGGGGAGTCCTGCAGGAGAACATAGCGGTCCTGACGATTGGTGAAGTACAAATCACTCAGGTTTGCACTAGGAGAGAGAACAAAAAGAGAGCTGAGGTCTGGAACGGAGCGTATGCAACGCGACCCCGAGAGCCCAGCCTATTTTACTGGTATCGCTGCCCACACAAGACTGAGGTACAAAGTGCCCATTTCCGTTTGAATCCGGACACCGGGACACTTACCAGCATCCCTGATAGGATCACTGTCCTTACCCCACGGCAAGACCAGAGGCAAACAATGACGAGCAGACAACAGCAGCAGCACGCATATCTTGCATCAAACCTCAGCTAAATTAATCACAGAAAAGCCTAAAGAGGCAAAACTTACCCGCTGAGGATCACATTATCATCAAACAGATAGACCTTGATGTGCTGCAGCCCAATGGTCTCATTAAAACGCTCTGGAATCAGGAGCCTGAGCAATCCCCGCAGGTTTGGAGTGTGGAAGAGGGACACACGGACTTGCCGAGGGAAGCGCTGCAGCAGCGGGGTGAGCATCGTGCGGGAATTCCTCCTGCCTGGAGAGAGCGGCCGTTCAGGCGCGGGATGGGACCCAGGAAAACAGCTCTGCAGCTAGAAGCTGGGTTCATAGAATCATAGAATGCTTAGGGTTGGAAGGGACCTCTAGAGATCATCTAGTCCAACCCCCTGCACACGCAGGGTCACCTAGAGCACGTGGCACAGGACTGCGTCCAAGCGGGTTTGGAAGATCTCCAGAGAAGGAGACTCCACAACCTCTCTGGGCAGCTCCTGCCCCACTTGCTAGTACTTAACACTTCGGATTGCTTTCATTTGCAGTTGTGTTACTACTAACATCTGCCCCAAGTTCATTGATGAATGGGCCTTGGAAATGATTACTGGGCAGGCCTGACACCATTCAGGCTAAGCAGGTCACACACAGCACTAGTAACATATGCTAGAGCCACCACAGAAGTTTCAGGTTAAGTGTACTGCTATTTCCACCACCTCCCACCTTCCTTCAGCAAAAAAGAAGAGAACATAAAAGTGCATAACCACCAGGGCATGTGCACTGGCAAGAGAAGCAAGCAGGCAAAACGCACAGGGGGAGGAGCAGGGCCGGGCTCAGCCCTCGTACCCCGCGGCTCGCGCTCGTACCCCGGGAGCCCCTGGTGAAGTCCAGCAGGATGGACACTCGCAGGGCCGAAGGGCCTTCCGCTCGCAGCGATTTCTCCAGCGCTTCCTCCAGGCAATCCACCTGCAGAGAGGCCGTACCACTCAGTAAGGAAGAGCTTTGTAAAGGCAAATGCTAGGAAACAGGCGGCCAGGAGCCACGAGCCAGGTACCGCTGGGGTACGGAAACTCTTTCCTAGGCGTACAATGAGGTGCTAGCTTAAACTTGGCATTTTTTCAGACTGGCATCCTATTCTATCAGTTCAAAGCAAAAACAAAGGGCATTCATTTTATACATGCATACAGCAACCTTCAAGGCTCTGAACAGCAATTAATTTTAGCAGGAAAAAGAGCCCCAGCGCCATTGCAAAAATCACACGCTTCCATCACCAAACAGAAAGCTTGGTGGGAGCTCACAGAAGATGCAGAGGCAGTTTTATGCCTTCACTATAAGCCTGCTGGCAACATGCAAATTTAAATCTTGTGTCTGAGCCCAGGCTAGGCCAGAGAACTCTGTCCACCTTGACCCTGGTTTGCAATTTGCATTCCAGCGTAGCAATTTGGCCAAGGTCAGACTTAGGCTTTTGTTTCTAGAGAGAAAGACAGGAAATGAAAAAAAAAGGTAAATGATATGCAGCAAAACTGACCCCTGCCTTCAATGCAGAGCTAGCGCCACGTCTGCATACAGTACTGGCAGGACAAACAGCAGCACAGCATACCACAACTTTAGCCACGTTCAAGAAAAAAATCCAGGATAAAACAAAATTATCAGTGTTCCTGCAGTCCTGCACAACACTTTGAGCACTTTTTCAGTAACTCCTAATAGCCTCGAGGGTCCAGGCTCATTCCCCTGTGAAAATGCTCACGCGTTTCACAGTCTTGTTCCCAGCTTGTGGTAAAACCCCATCCGCCTCCCCTTCAAATTCCTCCCCCTGCTTCACATCAAGCCTCAAGTACAAGAATGGAGCCTGGAACCAAGACAGTAACTCCGAAGGAGAGCAGAAAGGCAAACCAGGAGAATCCACCTAAGAAAGTCTTAAAGACATTACAGGCTCACAAATTGCCCCTCACATTCCTCTGCTGTACCTACAGGAACAGGACACTTGTTCAGAGGGAGGTATTTTCTTGTTCCCTTTTTCTCCTTCCCGAGCCCTTTCCACACTCACCAGCTCCTGTTCGAGGAGCCCCGTCCCCAGGTAGAGTGAAGCCATCACCACTCGCTGTTTGGCTGTTTTTATCTGCGCCTGGAATCAACAGAGAGTAAATCCAGGTTCAGCTTTGGTCTCTGCAGCCACAAGGAGCTAATGAATCAATGCCCAGAGAACCCCGCAGGCGCCCTGAGGAGAATCCCTTCAGCCAAAGCAGAGCGTGCCCCTGCCTCGAGTGCCAGCAGCACAGAGGCCAGGGCAAGGAGCCTGCGGGCAGCCGAGGGGCAGTGGGTGGCAGAGCTACAAAGCTGCTACGGGAAATGCACGTTGGGCATCCGAGAGATGTTGGTGTTTTAAAGGCGGTGCCGCCGTGCACTGGGCCACCCGGAGAGGTTTTGCCCTCACAGAGGTGCCCCAGGCTCAGCTAGGCTGGATCACTGCAAACCTGCCCCAAACGGGAGGGCAGCAGCCACCCGCAAGTGCCCACAGCCCCCGCGGGCTCCAAACACAACTCGCCTTCAGGAGTTCGTAGAATTCCGCCGGGGACGAAAGGACCTTCACACGAGAGCTGGAGATCCCGAACTCTGGAACGAGATTCCTGATCCATTGGAACCTGTGCGCCCCTTCCGGACACAGGGCGCAGGGGGCGGCTGTGACCACAGGCGCAGGAGAGGTGAGCAAGGGCGCGAGCAGCAGCCATGACGAGCTGGGAAGGGAAGACGAGGGATTGCAGCCACGTGGCCTGGGAAAAAGCAGCTCCCGCAGGGCTCAGGGCCTGCACGGATCTGCAGCGGCACTAAGGCCTCTCCCCCGCAAGAATCCCCTCAATCTCAAAGTCAAACCCAGAAAGGCAAAGCCAAGGGTGGGAGAATCCAGTTTACACCACTGCATACCCTGCCCTATGGCAGGCGGCAGCAAAGACAGGAAAGCAGGAGTGGAAACGAGCTAAGGGCTGCAGAAACGGAGGCCGTTAGCCCTGCGATTAACCACGAATCGGATGTTTGTTGCGTGAGCCCTCCCTGTGCCCAGTCGTTCCCTCGCTCCGTCTTTCTCGTGCGCGGCACCTTTGCCCTGGCCAGCAGCCACTCTCGTTTCTAACTTAGCCTTCAGCTGGGCTAAAGACAATTGCTCTCATTTCAAGTAAACACATTAAAAAAAAAAATATCATACAACCCTAAAAGCGCCTTAATGAAACAACAAAAACTCAGCCCCTAAAATGTACCCAGACAGAATGTGGAGCCCAGGCAGTGCTGGAGGGCCCGGCGCCCCAGCCAGAGCAGTTCCATGCAGCAGGCGCGCGCCGGGACGCAGCAATGAGAGGCACCGCGGCTGCTGCAGCGCCCCGCGGCGCCCGCGCCCCGAAGGGGAACATCAAGATCTCTCCGCAAGCTGCTAAGTACCTGGAAGCGTGACAGCCGGAAGCTCCTTCTCTAAAAGGAAATCTCAGAACAAATTTAACTGCTCTGAAGTCATTTGGGGAAGCAGCGACTTACTGCTCAGGGGGCTGACAAGAAGTGAGCGGCACCCTGTGTTCCCCGGAGCGGAGCACGCGGGCCCCATCCCCGAGTCACACAGCAACCCCCGGCAGCAGCCCGTCCACATGACAAAACCACACTGCAGCGCAATTAGCAGCGGCGAGTCCCACGAGATGCAGGAATCGCAGAGCAAGGGACTGAACCGCATCCCCGAGCTCCAGAAAGGCCCATTCCCGTGGGCACGGCCTGCTCGGAGGAGCCAGGCTGCCGGCGGGGGCGGAGCCGGGGGGCGGGAAACCCGGCCTCCCGCTCCGCCGGCTCCATCCCGCGCTGCCTCCTGACGCACTCGGCCATGACCACATACCAAGAGGAAACTCGATTACAACCTTTACCAGAATTTGTTACAAGGAACTTTTAGGCTTTACCACAATCCAAAGCCCAAGTGACCACAGATTCCAGGAAGATGATTTCACTCGTTTGTTTCATGATAAAACACTGGATCTTCACAAGATTTCCGAATACCCTACGCAGAAGCCAGACAGCTTGCAGTTGCATTTCCCGGAAAATCCACTAGTTTCTCACAGCCTATTCATCGCAACAACAAACTGAGTCAGTTTGTGCAAGAATTCCTAGGATGGGCTTTTTCAGCAGATCACGTGGCCCAGGCTCTAGGCTGACAACCATAAGCAGTGCAATTTACCAAACAGGTTGTTAAAAACAAGGGAAACACAACACAGATGTTTAAATAAACATACAAGGAAATATATAAAGCACTTTCCTAAAGTAGAGTGTTTTTGGCCCTCGTTCAAGCGCATCCTGCAAGGAGCCGAGCAGGAGCTCCGCGCTCCTTGCTGCATTCATGCCTCACGCGGAGGAACCTCCGGACACCTGCGGGAACCAGACGCACGGAGCCGCAGGGGCTCGCGCCGCGATCGCAAAGGCTGCAACGCCCGTTCTCTGGAATTACTCTCGCTGGATAACACGAGCACGTTTACGTGCTGTGTAACAGCAGCTTCTCAGGAAGGAGGACAAACCTCCTTATGGCTCCACAGGTCAAACCTGGCCAGTTAATTCCGCAGGAGGCAGCACAGGGCCCGGCGCCCGCTCGTCAGGGCCGTTTCCCAGACGCAGGCGGCTGCTTCCTGGCAAAGGGCTCTGAGGTGGGAGGACAAGGGGACCCCAGCAGGGCCCAGGGGCTCCTGGCCGCGCTCTCCGCGTTAACCCCGCACGCGCCTGGGCACTTTTCACACATTCTGGGATTTCTCACTGCCTCTACGATAAAGCACACAGCCATGAGTTTTCACCCCTTAATTGCACACTGCAATGTTAAAACTTGAGCATGGAAAGCCCAATCATTTTATGATTTTCAAATAAATCACTGTTTTGCACCAGCCAACAGTAACGGTCGTCTAAAGCAGCAACTTCTACCCCTGGCCCCTAAGAACAGCCCAAGCGCCCAGCCGGGTGCCACGCGATCCCTTCAAGCGCACACGCGCAGCAGGCAGAAACCAAGTGAAATTATGAAGAAATACTCAAAATTCCACGCACAGCAACGCAGCTTTCAGAGAACCAGAAAGTGACGGCGCAGGGGAAACCCTCCCCACGTATTCCACATCACCGCCTTAACCCGAAAGAGAAAACAGAACTAGGAGGAACCACCCCTAATCTTTTCTGCTTAACAATCCGCGCCTAAATATAACCGCGGGGTTTTTCTCCGAGGTCTATTTTTAGGCGCTGCGGTTTCGGGGCGCACGCGCTGCCCCGCGGCGGCGTCA